AGGAGTACAGTGAAAAGTATGTCGCCACACATAGTGCCATCTTAGGTACCAAGGTACCTAGGGTACAAAAATGCTTAGGTACAAAGTAGTGAGAGAAATGAGAGTTTAAAAATTAAGCATTACTACATAGAATAGGGGGAAGATAAAGAAATAGGTAATTGTTCACATTAAAGTGTGGATTTAAGGTTACCATTCTCACCAACCTTGATAATCTTTCAACCGTTTGTTTAACAAAAAACTCTCTACTTGTGCTTTAAAACTATTAAAGGACTCTGCTTCCATCTTTTCAGGGAGAGTGTTCCAAAGAATCACGACCATCTGGGAGTAAAAGGTTAGTCTAATGGGAAATCCCTGGTTTTTAAATTATCACCTCAAGTTCTAGATTCTCCCATACAGAGAAACATCCTCTCCACATCTGCACTGTTAAGAGCCTTCATGATTCTGTCTGTTTCAGTTAAGTTGTTACTTTTCTGAACTCTAGCGGACACAAGCCTAAGTAAAAAGCAAAAAGAAACAAAAACAGAAATTGCTCAAAAATGTTGGCAGGTCTGGCAGCATCTGTGGGGAGAAATCAGTTAATTTTTTGGGTCCAGTGATCCTTCTTCAGGAGTCTGTGTGTGCGCGCATATGCCTAGCCTATCCAATCGTACCTCCTGAAGCATTAGTCCAGAAAACCCTCACTGAACAGCTTCCATTGCATTTACATTCTCCTTGCACAAGGTGAGCAATAATGTACACAGGACTCCAGAAGTGGTTTCACCAGTGCCTTGTATAATAGCAGCATCGCTTTGCTACTTTTGTATTAAACTCCCCTTGTGATTAGCTTTCATAATTACTTGCTGTACCTCATTATAACCTCTTGCGATTCATGTGCAAGGACACCCAGATCCTTCTGCATCTCAGAGCTCTGCAATCTCTCACCACTTACATAATGCTTTTCTTTTTCTTTTTCTTCTCTTCCTGCAAAATGAACAACTTTCACATTTTCCTGTTTGTCACATTTCTCACTTAACCAATCAATATTTTTTGTAGCCTTGTATCCTCTTCACAACTTATTTGCCTACCTCCATTTGTGTTGCCAGCAAATTTAGCAATCATACCTTCCACCCCTTTATCTAAGTCATTTAGATAATTTATAACAGTTGAGGTCTTAGCACCACTTGTGGCACAGCATTTTTGTTAATGTGTCAACTTCAAAAAGATCATTATAATTACACTCTGCTTCCTATTAGCCCGTCAACCTTCCATTCATGCCAATAGGCTATCCACTACACAATGACATATTATTTTCTGCAATCACTTTTGATGTGGCATTATATCAAATGCCTTCTGGGAATGCAAATTCAGTACAACCATCAGTTTTCCCTATATCCATACGTTGCTTGCTATATCCTCAAAAGAACTCCAATAGATTGATAAATCTTGATTTCACTGTCACGAAACCTTGTTGACTCTGCCAAGTTATCTAAGTGCTCTGCTATAACTTCATTAATAATAGCTAATATTTTCCTGTAATTAATGTTAACCTAACTGGTCTTTAGTTTGCTTTCCATCTCTCTCCCTTTTTAAAAAGGGGTTACATCCATTGCCTTCCAACGTAATGGAACCATACCCTAATCAACAGAATTTTGGAAAATTAAAATCAATACATTAACTATCTCAGTAGCCCTTTCTTTCATGACCCTAGGATGAAATCCATCAGGACTTGGGAACTTGTCAGACTGCAACTCCAACAATTTTCGCAGTACTATATTTCTGGTGATTGTGATTTTCCCCAAGTTCCTTTCTTTCTTCCTTCTCCCGATTTAGCAGTATTTCTCGGATATTACTTATATCTTCTGTAGTGAAGGTGTGTAGGTGCCGGTGTTAGACTGGGGCGGACAAGGTCAGAAGTCACCCGACACCAGGTTATAGTCCAAAAGTGACTTCAGCTGACGAAGGAGCAGTGCTCTGAAAGCTTGTGATTTCAAATAGACCTTTTGGACTATACCTTGGTGTCGTGTGACTTCTGACCTCTGTAGTGAAGACAAGTGCAAAATACCTATTAATTCATCTGCAGTTTCTTCATTTTCCATTATTCCTCCTCCAGTCTCACTTTCTATTCTGTAAGGTCTGCCACTGCATCTCTATTGACATTTGCTTTGTCTTAAATTTGCTGATTTCTTTTTAAGCCAACTCTGTTTTTATGCCCTTGTTATTGCCCTTAATTTTAAAAAAAAAAAAAGTATTTTTAAACTCACTTCTTTCTCCTCCAAATTGAACATTAAATTTAATGATATTATGGCTGCTACTACCTAGAGGCACCTTCACTATGAAATCATTAATTAATCCTGTTCGCATTAACAAAAGATTGGAGAACTGGAAGACACGGATTTAATGTAGGTGGCCAAAGAACAAAGTGACATTAAAAATTTTTTTCTTATGCAATGTTTGGTTAGAAACAGGAACACAATTCCTATGAATATCTGGGAGGGGGAATTCAGATGTGATTTTAAAAAGGGAAATATGTATAAAACACTTGAAAAGAACTTTGCAGGCTACAGACGGATCAGTGCAACTATCTTTCGAAAAGATAGCATGTACACAAGGCAAATGGCCTCTATCCATGCTGAACACATTCTTTGACTCCATGATATTGAAAAACTTTGTTGCTTTTAAAGAGTAGATGAAAAAAGCTAGACTATTGTTTTGGACAGAAATTAAGGCATGTTGCATTTCAAGGCATTAATACAGTATATTCCCTCAAAAAATTTTAACATTGCAGTTGTGTTTGGAACAGTTTATTAACAATATGATGCTGCTCATATAGCTGTGGTGTGAAGAAGATTGCTCGATTTCTCTGTTCGTTTGCTAATTTGTGTTTGCTGGGAGTTCAGTACAAGTCAGGGAATATTTCACAATAAACAGCCATTTAGAGAGTAAGTCCATTATGGGAAATACATTTCAAGGAATAGGGTAGCATTTTGGAAGAATTCCATGCTTCTGTTCTTTCACTGAAATTAAACTGATTTTTAAAAAGAAATCCAAGTTCCCCCTAAGATGTAATAGTACATGTGTCGATCCACAAAAGGCACAGGAGACTACAGTCAGTCAGTCAGGCTCATGGTGCTTCAAAATGCAACAAATGATAGGCTCTAATAGCCGAGGTGCACTGGGGAAAACACAGATGCAATGACTTTCATCCTTTTTAATAGTCTCTCCTAAATACAAGGTGAGCAGTAACTTCTGAATTTATTAGTGGCACAGTCTAAAAGAAAATAAAGTTGTACCAGTTCATATTGGCATTGGTCTGATTATTCAGAATGAAAATGAGTGACTAAGCCTTATTGTAGTTGAACATGCATTAGCTCACTTTTAAAAGCCTCCCTCTTGCCAGAAATCCCTTTACTTGCATACAGCCTCCCCTAAAATCAACTTTTGAAACTTCCTGTCTAATACCATCAAAATTTGCCTTGCACCAACTTGTGGACCAGGCCTATCCATTTCCATAATTGTTTTAAAACTAATAGAATTATGGTCACTAGTCCAAGAGCACACCCCCACTAGCACCTCAGTCATTGAGTTGTACAGCACTGAAACAAACTCTTTAGTCCAACTTGTCCAGGCTGACCAGATTACCTATCTAAATCTAGTCCCATTTGCCAGCATTTGGCCCATATCTCTCAACTCTTCCTATTCATATACTCTATAAGGCCACTCTTCAGCCTCTGAAGCTCCAGGGAAAATAGCTCCAGCCTATTCAGCCTCTCCCTATTGCTCAAACCCTCCAACCCTGGCAACATCCTTGTAAATCTTTTCTGAACCCTTTCAAGTTTCACAACATCCTTCCTGTAGCAGGAAGACCAGACTTGCATGCAGTATTCCAATAGTGGTCGAACTAATGTCCTGTACAGCTGCAACATGATCTCCCAACTCCTATTCTCACTCAATGCACTGACCAATAAAAGGCAAGCATACCAAACACCTTCACTATCCTGTCTATGTGTGACTCTACTTTCAAGAAACTATGAATGTGCATTCCTTAGTTTTTGTTCAGCAACGCTCCCCAGGACCTTACCATTAGATGTATACATCCTGCTCTGATTTGCCTTTCCAAAATGTTGCACCTTGCATTTGAATTCAACTCCATTTGCCACTCCTCAGCCCATGTGATCAAGGTCCCATTGTACTCTGCGGTAACCTTCTTCACTATCCACTACACCTCTAATTCACTTGCCCTGCCTTATTTCCCTAAAGGATGTGGAGTTTTGCCCCTTCTCTAGAAGGGCCATCCACATTTGAGAAAGTTGTCCTGAACACAATTTCCTCCCCATCCAAGCCCTTAACACAATGGCAATCCCAGTCTACATTTGGAAAGATAAAATCCCCTAATGTTAGAACCTTCTTATTCTTACAGCTCTGTGATCTCCTTACGTTTACACTTCATTAATTTATACAGGATATGCACTGAAATAACTGTAGGCTTTTGAATCAAGACATTATTCCTTAACCAATAAAACAACTAGTTATATATCTTACTGTTGCTTATGGCAGTTGGGAATGCAAATGGCTGCCGTGTCATGATTATTATACCTGTGGCTACATTTAACATTCAACATTCATTGGTTGTGAAGCATACTGGACATCCCAAGATAATAAAAGACCCCGAATTTAGGCCTCAGAACATTTTAGAATTCAACACAATAGGAGGTAGCAATTAAATTCAGGACAGTTTCTCATACTCAATTATGAAACTTCAAACCTGAAAAGACTTTTTTTCTTGAAAAAGCAGGCCTTCATTAGAAGTTCAGAAGAATGCCAACCAAAAACCCACCACACCAAGATCTGACAGCGATATAGAAGTATACTCAAGCAATATAAATCAATACTTAGGAGTAAAATCAGTAACTGGAACAGGGAGACGAGAAACCCACCTGGGCATCCAATTATGGCCCAATGTGTTCCATTCGAGAGAAGCATTAAAAATGTTCTACAAATATGATACCTTGAAACCAAAGCACTTCAATTAATACAAAAAACTTTTATTGACATTTTTTAATTAAAAAAGAATATAAAAAGTCAGAGTTAAGTGTAGCTTAGGCAATTTTCTTGAAATGGAAATAAACCTAATTTATACAAAGTGAAAAAATAGATATCCCTTTCAGCAAGAGGCTACGCACTAACATGACAAATCAACAATATATATTTTTAAAGTCTGAAACATTGTGCAAAGAACCTGATCTGTACAGAAACAGATGGAATCTAATCATTGCTGCTACATTAAGGCAACCCTATGAATAATACATTTTGGAAATTCCTTAATAAAGTGACACTGTAGATTATTCCTAGCACACACACACACACACACACACACACACAGTCTTTGCATCTGAAAGATATACTGACCATGCGCTTCAGGGTGGAGAATTTCAGTAACAAACCTAGTTTTTAAAAACAACAACTCCTTGTAGTCATACTTCAGCATTTTTGTCATGTCTTTTTGGTGGGTGTAGGAGTAGGCAGGGAGAAGTTGTACAGAACAACTGGATTTGCATATTGCAGAATTAAAAAAAGTACTTCTGCTGTAGACAATGTTCAGAATTTAAAAACAGGTTTAACATACAATATTTTCCACCCTGCAATATGTTGAAGGACAAATAAAGCTATTACACGCTGCAAATAATTCTGCTCCATTGCACCAATGCTGTTAATTTTGGTGTCATTTACATGTGAAATTACAAAAAGGTTAAAAATAAACTTATTTTTAAAAAGCATGTCAAAACATAAAAGTTCTAACACTATGGATGAATAATCCAAGAAACAAAATAAGATTCAGCTAAAGAAAATTGCTGAGGCAGTGTCATTACTTCTCCATTACAAGCTTCTGGAAGAAAATACTACAGTACAAAATTTTCTTGTCAACTGATAGAGTTTAGCAGTTGGCTTTAAAGCTGCCCAGCCTTACAATACCATCTGTGGCAGAGGTTTGTTCAAGAATCTTCAGTGTTTTGGAATAGTCCTGCCAAAACCTTTCATAATCCACAGAACAGAAAAAGGGAGCCAGAACAAGCTGCTGCATTTGTGTGACCAAACATAGGAGTGCTTTCTAGTTTCTTCTGTAATGTACATCACTGAAAATCATACAGTCAGACCTGCTGACCCATAAATGTTCAAATTACAGAGAGGTTGAGAAGACTGGCACACGTGGGCAAGAATACTTGCTGAATGTGATCAATGTCAGATCGACAAACTGGACAGGCCTAGGTTTAAAAAAAAAAAATGGTTAGAAGTTAGACAGTGTAATTATTCAATTACTTAAAGACCAATTTTTTAGAAACACCTTTGACCATTTTCATTTCAGAGGTAAATTATGCAAGTCCTAAATTATGTACAAAACTGAAGGATAAACTTCCCTATGGAAAGTCGGTTCAGATATCAGCAAATTATTGAAACGGTAAAAATAACAAAATCTTACCTGTAGCTGATTAGCACAAGAACCACAGCAAACCATGTGTCCACAGGGGCAGAAGGCAGTATTAATCTCCTCACCACAACAGACCATGCACAATAACGCTTCTTTAAGTTTTCGAATCTTTTCTTGAAGCACCTGACTTTGCTGGCAGCTCTCCCCTTCACAACTGTTACAGTTCAATTCATGCTCTGAAGATTTAAGTGGAGAGTTCTGGCCATCTCGATTGTGTGGAACAAAGTCTACAATGCCAGCATGATACAAAGCTCTTCGTGTATGGTCATACACCTCCTTGGATGTGCGTTTGATGTCAAAAACATATTTCTTACCCAGATTGATACTTTCATTGAGAAACAAAGAAGCAAGATGGCCCTTGAAGTCTCTGCTGTATTGCATCATGACAGCATTGGTCACAGTATCACACCTGAAGAGGATATTAATTCAGTTAAGCGCCAAATGACAACAACAACAATAATAATAATAATAAATATTTTTAAAATGTAACGTTCTAGGAAAAAGTACATCATATTGCTGAGACTGCTCCAAATAACTTTGTTTTAAAGTCACAGAAGGCTTTTGGTTTTTAAAAGCAAAAACAAACAAACTACATTAGTCCATTGGAAGCCCTGTTCCAAAAAATTTTTAAATGGGATGTACAGCATTGCTGACATAGCCAACATTTATTGCTCGTCCCCAGTTGCCTCGAGATGGTGGTGGTGGTAGTAGTAATTGTGAGCCACCTTTGAACTGTTGCAGTATTTCTATAGTGGTTTGTTATAATCAAGTGGCTTACTAAACCATTTTAGAGGGCAATAAGAATCAGATATTACAAAATGCCTGCAAGTCTCACATATGTAAGAAAACCTTCCTCCCCAGTGCCCCATCAAAAAAAAAGCAAAAAGGACCAAATATAACAGCCAATACAAAACCAGAGAAGTTGTTTAAAAGACTATTGCTCTTCAAATATGAAGATATTACACAAGATGTGTACACTTCTTAAATGGGACTCAATATTTCAGCTTCCATGATAAGCATCAACTCTCAAAAGTGTAAGAAATAAAACTACAGGAAGACTTGGAATGACTACAACTCTCCTTGTAGTTAACGAAGGTCTACAGGAATGAAAATCAAAACTGCAGTAATAGCATACCTGTAAAATGCATGGGTTTCAGTTATCGCACGATAAAGGGCACTTGCTGCTCTAGTGCTGATCAGCTTCAATATTAGGACTGTACTGCTGCCAGACTCCCTTGTGATTGTAAGGTAAACATTTTTTGCAGATTGAGTAGCCATCTGGATAATAGGGTATGAAATCCTGTAGGACAAAAATCAGAACAATCAAAAAGTTCATTGAAATCAAAAGGCAATTTCAGTTACATAATCAACATCTTCCTAATTAAACATATTTCTTAAAATCACTCAGTTGACAGTCAGCAGCAGAGGAAAGAGAAATGAGACTAGACTATAGCAGCTGCACTTTTCAGAAAAATGCTCTTAGTTTAACCATTATGATAATTGTCCAGTAGTCAACTTTAAAAAGGATCACATAATCTAAAAACATATGCAAAAATAAAAAAATCCTTGGAGTTGAACTAAAAAGTTAACTAGCCTGTTAATTAGGTTCAAGTTTTCTTTGCAGACAGATATGCCATCAGGACCCACTCCAATCATCAACTTCTGTCCATCACCATCCTTTACCGAATGCCATTCCACACCATAGTGTTCCAGCGTGCATGCAATCTGGAGAAGCCGGTACTCAGCTCTGCATGGACTCATTCCTTCCAATTCCTTGTGTTTCACAACAATACTATTGAAACAAAAGCAGTGCTTGTATTACTTAAAAGGGTAAGGAGGAAGGAAGGACAAAGGGAAGTCATTGCTCCCTGTTACAAAGTATGCTACGAAAAAGACAAAAACACTTAATTTGGTCTACCCATTCCTTCCCAAAATAGAACATTTTGCATGCAGGTAAGCTTACTTTAGTGGCACTGCCTTTTTGTTTTGAAAAGAAAATTTATGATTTTAAGAGAGAGGAAAATACAGAAGCACAGTAAACTTTAAAATTACAAGCTTAGATTTCTGACAAATCCTTTTGCCAGAACTCTTGGAAAAGGTCAGGCTTATCCAAACTTGCTAGAATAAACGTGAGGAGGCTGAATGCAACTTTATCCAGCTGACTCACCTGTTCAAAGTGCTGGTGTTTAATTCATTCGCACAGAGGTCTTCATAACAATACTTGACAGTGTTTTGATTGTAGTCTCCGAATTCTACTTGTGCTAGAAGTGCACTCAAATCCAGAGCCTGCTCTGGCGAACAGAGCAGGCGTCCGTTTAGGAGGTCATCCCGGACATGCAGAAAAAATTGATGCCTGGAGTTTGAGACAGGATAAAAATGATTTGAAGAAAACTCATTCCATAGAGATTTTAGAATGTTTATTCAGTACAAATCCTTACTACAGTTTAGGCACTTGTGGGGAAAACAAAGTCCAGGTATAGTTTGTTAATAATATATTTTAGTAATGTTTGTTTAGAGATAATAGGAGAACCACCACACAATTAGTATTACCACCTTGGAATTCAGTTGAACTTACGATTTAACCAAGAAGGTTTAAAGTTTTGATTAAAAAAAAAAAACAAAAAACTGCTTTAAGCACATTACGTTCAGTAATTCCTACTGAACTTTTAATCAATATGATACTTATGCTAATATTTCTATGCAAGATTCAGGAATTAGCCAACGTTGGGCAGGACAAGGGGCAACAGATTGGATTTAAATTCACCTGCCGTAATTTGAAATCCCCAAGTTAATTTGTTTTTCCACACTGTACAAGTTCAACTTCCCACTTTTAAAGGAAACCACAGTAATGACTTCTTTAGGAGTAAAATCTACCCATGGGAAATGCAGCCAATAGAATAGCTTCCACAAATATAGCAGATCTGTCAAGGTCTGTTCAGATAGATAAGCAAGTTTTGTTGCTCCATAATAAATTTCAGAAACTGATGAAGCTGGGCAACTTCAAACCCAAGCAATTTCCAGTGAAATGCATTCTTTTGATGCATATCCTCCCCATCACCACTAATACAAAACACTGATTTATGCACTACATTAAGCAACAGTATTAAAAGTTTTCACATAGTTGACTGAAATTTCACTGAAGTTATGATATATTCAGTGAGTGGTAGATGGTATTTGGCACACAAACTGTTTCTGAGAAATGAAAATTGGGAATTTACCTTGCTAAGCAGGAAACAGAAGATAAACTAGCTCCATTACACACAACTTTGAATTCAAAGTAGAACATGTCATTCCAATTTCAATAACAGTAGAGGGCAATCTGCACGCAATGCTTTGAAGCACAATAGAGGAACGCAAAATAAATGGTACGCTGTCAAATTCTACAGGGCAAAACACTGCCATGGAAGGCAGTGTGGGAAGGGCAAGACATGAAGCAAAATTAAATTAAGGGAGAAATGAGTCCATGTGAACGTGGGGACAAGGGAAACAATAGTCGAGACAGTCTAAAGAAAACAAAAAGGAGACTGCAAGAGCAGACAAATCATTTAGGCTAGCCCCTGGAAAAAAACGTATGGCAATAGCATTAAAACTTGGTGCCCAAAGTAATTATCACAAATGCCATAAGAATCCCAAAAGTAACAAATTAAAAATTGGAAGATCAACAGTACATGTGTGAAAGTTGGTTATTATCTCATTTAGCTAAAAAGGTATTAATAATTCCAGAACACCATATTTGCAAGAGGTTACTCTCGGTCAAATGTTAACAATGTAAACAAAAGGTTACTAAAGGACAAGTATGCATCAACTGGCAACAGAAAAAGAAACAGTTTCAATATCACAAAAACCACGACAGTCAACAGTACAAAGTTCAATATCAAACTTTAAGTTACATGACTAACTAGAAAATACAAAAAAAATTCCAGAATCCAGTGAATAATCCAGAGTTCAGCAGGCTAATAATTTCAATATGGAATAAAAAGAGATTAATTCTTAGCAATGCCCTGCTTTCTCAAGTGTCATTTCAACATCAGTACCTCAAACAAAATTCTAAATCAGATCACCTGCTACAACAGCCAACGTAAAGGCCAGTATAGGATGATACCTCCTCTACAAAACAAAATTGCACTTTTTTTTCAGCATGGATTCAGGAACAGGACCACACAGTCATTGTCAATTCTTCAACAGCTGCCAAACAGTTGGAAGCCAGAGCGAATGCACACAGTGAACCCTGACAGTGCTTTGCCAGAAAACGTTTATCTACAATTGCTCACTCACATTTTGTGCAAGATGACAGTTTACATACAGATAAAAGATAAAGTTCTAGGATTCCTTCAGGGTCAGAATTAAAACCAAAAATTTCAAAATATTCAGGGCAGTGAATTCAGTTTGCTTTGAGCAACTGATTTGTAGTTTTTTCTTTACACTGGATTGGATACACCCCATGGATCAGGGTTTTTTTTTTGGCAGACTGCAATTTAAACTTGACATCAAAAACCAGTCAATTTCAGTAATGCATTTGCACTCCCACCTCTGTCCAATGTTTCTTCAATTATCTGATGAAATTCTAGAATAAGTCAGGCACCTGAACAATTCCAAGTTCCTATCGGAAGGTGACAAAATCTAGATGGCCCAGTTGCATGACCTCTATTTCAATATTAGCACATTATGAATAGTCACTGATCAAGGGAACACATTGGATGTTAGACCAAGAGGTGCTCAAAAAATTTAAAAAAAAAAGGACAAAATTCATCAGAAATACAAATATGTACAAAATTTTCGTTTAAAATACAGAAAAGACAAGGACAACGGAACAGCTATTAAATGCACTCTCAGCCAGACACCTTAGTTGGCAGCTATTATTCAATGGATAGGACTCTTGTCCTAGACTCAGAACACGCTGGACTCAAAATTAAGTAATTAGTCCAGTATGTGGATGTTAAAAACTTCCACCATTATTACAAAGCTCTTTAATGCCCTGGCTAATATTTAGTTCACAGCAAACACAGATCTACCATACAGCTGTTTGTAGGATGATCAAAAGTCATGAAAGACATTACATAAATGCAAGCCTCTTTGTTGTGCTGGGAGTTGAAGAAAATAGTGCAATGATGAGACAGTATGTTAAAGTGAACTGCCAGAATGCAAGATATGATTCGTCCAAAAAAGTTTTGATCTCTGCCCGATTTGGACACAGCTCAAATGAGGTGAGCTGCTCCCACCATGTCTAGTAATTTCTCTGACAACTAGCTAATTCAACAGCAAAAAATTAGAGACTAGATAACATACTTGCTGTTTGTCGATTTCAGGAAGAAACTGTTTTGGTTTGGCTGGGGACAAAAATTGCCTGCAGGCTTGCAGCAGGCTATATTCAGTCATCCTGCAATTTTAGTTCTGAAACCAGCAGAAAAAAAACAAACAAACATCTTGAAGCAGAAACTACCAATCACAAAGCTACTTATTTTCTCACTGTACTATGGCCCAGTGGCAACACTGTGGGTGGCTTTACACCAGGAAGTAAATGGTCAGCAGAGGTAACAACCAGTCAACTCACTCAAACGAAACAAAAGTAATTTTTTTTGTTTCACAGTTTGTTAGACTTGAAGTTTCTAAATATATTCAAATTCATTGGTGGAAGCGCTGAGAGCTGACATTTAAACTATTCGGGTTTGGATCAAATAAAATCGTCAAAAGACATTAAAAACACAGCCAAGCAATAAAACCACGGACACATAATACCAGAAGTTTACGCAAACTTGGTGGCGGTATTGCTTCTCTCAATACTTAATTGAGAACTTATTACAACAGACAGCATTTAATGGAGCTTGCACTGGGGAATAGTGGGGCAGAGTAGGACCACAGTTGTACCAAAACCAGCAATGACAATTGTCCTCCCACATGCCCAAAGCGCAACAAGAAAAGTGTACATTTTTCTCCATTAGATTAAAAACAATGCCCTGTCAATTCAGTCAAACCAAAGCCTTTGTAGATCAATAGTAATTCATACGAGCTTTAAGAAATAAACCATTCTGTCTGGTTTTAATTTTTGCACTAACACTACATAAACTTCACTTTTGGAAAACTATTTTAAGCTTTCACTCGTTTACCACTATTCTTCAAAAAAAGGAATTAAAAGATAAATAAAAAGTAATTTGAAATCATGCAGTACAATCCATTCCCCAAGAATCTCTTTCAAAACATTTTTCGTGAACTAAGGTGGATGTTCGAATCTGACATTTACCTCAATTAGTTAAAACAGAATCAAAATTGCCGATGCCACACCGACAAGCATTTCAGTTCAACTAAACCCGAGATTTAAAAAAGTTCAATGCAATGAGCCCGGAGCGCTAGGACCCAGTAGTGCCTGATTACAGTTAGAACGCTAGTTTCTGCTACAATGACCCATAATAACACTGCAACGGCGAGGTTACTATCGGTCATCTGGAAGTGCAAGAACAAACTAGCAAGGAATCATTAAGTTTGTTCAAGTCGATACAACGAGACTTAAAAAAAAACCATATGCGAAACGCAAAGTAAAAAGATTAAATATCAGACTTTCATTTAAGCCAAGAAACAAAAAGCTCCAATTTATTAAGAAACACACCTAGTTTGCTCCTGAAGTAAAAGATGAGGTTCCACAAAAAATTTAACTCGGAGTTTGAATCTATAAGGAGGCATCCCTTCGATCTGTTGAGAGATTCTGTTCCTCAGGTTCAACCACAGAGTCTCCCCCTTGTTCGCAGAGTACTGCAGACCCAAATAGTCATCCTCTATAATGCCGAGCCTGTGGCAGACCTGGGCAAGAGAAAGGAGAGACCCCCTTACACTATTTGAAAAAGGATGACTGAACTACCGTCCCATCTTCCAAAATACACAGACTAATCCTCCCCACTTCTAAAATAAAGATAGGAAATGTAAACCCCAAACAAAACGACAAATTCCCTCCGCCGCAACGAGAGAGTAGGAACCCGAGGCAAAACAAAGCAGAGAGTACTACAATCCGTTAATAAGAAAGTTAACTGGTTATAAACATGGGGAGGGAGGGCAGATTTAAAAACAATATCTACGTTAGAAAAGAATGTATCAATTCACATGGGCATTTCGGCTTTGGGAAAAAGTCCAAAGGACATAACATCTGGACCAAGCTCTAATAATCAATTTAGGTCTTCTGATCAGCGATAAATTGAGGGGTATTCGCGGGGGGAAAAGACAGAAATGTGGGGTCAAGGCCACAAACGAAACCTTCCCGAATGGCGGAGCAGGCGGGGGTGGAAACCGAATGGTCTATTCCTGCTCCTGATGATCCGGTAGCACGGAGTAAATCCGGGGAAGCGCTGCGGGCCTTACCTGGTTCAGACAGTCCTCGCCGTTCGCTTTCGGATCCACCTCCACTTCCATCACCACCGAGTCGGGCCTGGTCACGTAGCACAGCATGGCGATAGCAGGACTCTCGGGGATCCGGATCAGTGGCCGTCACTCTCCTTTTCGATACTGCGGATAGCACCCCCCTCCCCTCAAACTGGCATCGAGGCTCAGCCGGGCTTGACCAGCCTAGGCCGCCGGTACCAAGCACTGGGCCCAGTTCACATACAGCTGTCCAGCTCCAGGCCTTAACCCGGTGGGAGCCCCCGGCTTTGGGTTCCTGGACCCAGCAGCAGATAGCAACCCCCCACACAGCCCGCCCTCCAGGTTCTAGACGCTCCGTTCCGGTTTCTTTCCACAAATACCCGGCTTGACGTCAGCTAGACAGCAGAAAACCAATTGCAGAAAAGCATTACTGCTCTCTGACCAATAGGAAAACACGTAGATTGAAGGGTGAAACAGAAAGAAACTGGATCGAGTCTCTTCAAATGAGATCACCGGCTCTCTGTGGGATCTTTATCGCTGAGATCACCAGTCTTCTCAGTGAGATCTGCCACAGTGGGGTTACAGGTTCTTTCCGTGGAATCTCTAATCAAAGAAATCCGTCAGAATAGTAAGTGGCTTGGAAGGAAACTGGTGTTACACAATGCTACCACTGAGCATCAGTAGTGGAGGGAGAGTACATCATAGTCATACAGCATGGAAGCAGACCCTTCAGTCCAAACTAAACATTATCCCAAACTAAACTAGCCCCACGTGCCTGCGCTTGGCACATAACCCTCTCAACATTTCTTATTCATGTACTGCTCGAAACGCCTTTAAAACGTTGTAGCTATACCTGGCATCCACCATTTCCTCTGGAAATTTATTCCAAAAAAGAAGACCCTTATATCACTTTCAAATCTTTCTCCTCTCACTTCAAAAATATGCCCCCTCGTCTTGAAACCCTCCACCCTATGAAAAAGACACTTGTCATTCACTTTACCTAAACCTCTCATGATTTTATAAATCTCCATCAGGTCACCCCTCAACTTCGTACTCTCCAGTGAAAGAAAAAGTCCCAGCCTGTCCAGCCTCTCCTATACAACTCAAACACTCCATTCCCAGCAACATACTTATAAATCTTTTCTGAATCCTGTCCAGTTTAATAATATCCTTCCTATAACAGGACAACCAGAACTAGACATTGTACTCCAAGAAGAGGCTTCACCAACGTATCACAATTCATATTCTCCATGATCTGAGCAATGAAGACAAGCATACTAAACACTTTCTTAATCACCCTGACTAGATGTAATGCAAACTTCAAACAACCTGAACTTATATGTCTCTCTGTTCTACAACACTACTAAAGGACCTACTTTTAATTGTACAAGTCCTGCCCTTGTTTGTTTTACCAAAGTGTAATACCTCACATTTATCCAAATTAAACTCCATCCATAACTCCTCAGCCCATTGACCCAATTGATCAACGTCTCTTTGTAATCTTAGATAACCCTCTTCACAGTCCATTATACCACCAATTCTGGTATCATTCACAAAATGACTAACCTTGCCTTCAAATTCTCACTTAAATCACTTATATAAATGACAAACAAAAGGGGACCCAGAGTGATCCTGGTAGAACACCACTGGTCACAGGACTGCAGTCCAAAAAACAACTCTCCACCATCATTCTCTCTTCTGCCTTGAGCCAATTTTGTATCCATTCGGTAAGTTCACCCTGAATCCCATATGATGTAAGTTTACTAATTAGTCTACCACGCAGGACCTTGTCAAAGGCTTTACTTAAGTCCAATATCTGAAATGTAAACAATGTCTACTACTCTGCCCTCATCAATCTCTTTGGCTACTTCCTGAAAAACCTCAGTCTGGACGGTGTCAAGCTTCTCAAGTTTTGTTGGAGCTGCAGTCATCCAGGTAAGTGAGAGTATTCCATTATAAGCTTGACTTGTGGCTTGTAGGTGGTGGACAGGCTTCAGGGAGTCAGTGGTAAGTTACTCACTGTTTCTCATAGAATCATTGAATCTCAACAGTGCAGAAAGAGGCCATTTGGCCCATCGAGTTTACACTGACCCTCCAAAGAGCATCCCACCCAGTCTTAGCCCCCTGGCCCTATCCCTGTAACCCTGCATTTAACATGCCTGATCGACCTAGCCTATACCTCCCTGGACAGTATAGGGCAATTTAGCATGGCCAATCCAGCTAACCTGCACATCTTCCAACCTGCTCTTGTAGCTCTTATGTGGCTAGTCCAGTTCAGTTTCTGGTCAATGGTAACTCCCAGATTGTTGGTAGTGGGGGATTCAGTGATAGTAATGCCATTTAATCTCAAGGGATGATGGTTAGATTTTCTCTTGTTGGAGATGATCATTGCCTGATCATTTGTATGGCATGAATGTTACTTGTTACCTGTCACCCAAGCCTGAATATTGTCCACATCTTACTGCATTTGGGCACGACTGCTTCAGTATCCAAGGAGTCATGAATGGTGCATAACATTATCCAAACATGAACAAATATCCCCACTTTCTCCAATCAATGTAATTAGTGTTCCCCTTCCTGGAACCATTCTTGTGAATCTTTTCTGTTCCATTCCCAATGCCTTCTCAGCCTTCCTAAAATGTGCTGCCCAGAACTGGACCCAATACTCCAGTTGAAACTAAAATAGTGTTGTATACAGTTTCAACATAATTAACTTGTTTTACACTCTATGGCCCTATTGATAAAACTTGTAATGCCATAAGCTTCAATAACAATGTCCTCAACCTGCTCCGCTACCTTCACTAATTTATGCACATTTACACCTAGTTCCCTCTGCCTGTCTGAGTAAAGCACAAAAAAAGGCCTTTGCTCTATTTGGACCATGTTGACTGTCTCTAAGAGCAACATAAAGGAAGATGGTTGCGGTTATACAAAATAGGAGCAGAAATAGGCTATCTTTCCCCTCAGAGATAGTAAGAATTGCCGATGCTGGAGTCAGAGATAACACAGTGTGGAGCTGGAGGAACACAGCAAGCCAGGCAGCATCAGAGGAGCAGGAAAGCTGACGTTTTGGGGTCCCAACCCGAAACGTCAGCTTTTCTGCTCTCTGATGCTGCCTGGCCTGCTGTGTTCCTCTAGCTCCACACTATGTTGTACCTTTCTCCTCAATCTGTTCTGCCATTCAGTAAGATTATGGCTGATCTGATTACTTCACATTCCCACCCACCTGCCAATAACCTTTTGATCTTTTGTTTCACTAATGACTTATCTTTACTCAAAGTCAGAACTTTGGATGTTCGCTGATGATTACACAATAATCAGCACCATTTGCATCTCCTCAGATAGTTAAGGAGTTGTTAAAGTGTTAAATAAAGGTGCACATTTACAGCAACATCTGAACAACATCCACGTATTGATTGTAATGAGGTCAGCCAGGTGGATATCATAGAATACAAGTTCTTTGTTTGGACCAGATTATCAGCCCCAATCAGGGAACCTTGGCTGACAGATAAGAACAGGAGTGTCAGACGTCATGTACACTCTGAGAGTTGGATCAGTGTCAAGGATTCTCCACGTGCAATTAAAGGGTGATTTGGTGACAGGATACTGGCCTTTATGGAGTTATAGGTATTTCTCCTATACCACGATAGTTACGTTCTTGTGCAACTTTGTGCTATAGAAAGTCGCCGTAGAAAACAGAGTTATTTGGAAATCGCTATACTGTACAGTAGAAAGTTCGCATTATCCAAACAGCGTCCAGTATTCATCAATCGCATTACACCCAATTTGCATTAATGAAACACAGAAATACCTGTATTTCATTCCAGGGTTGGGCTGAAAAGCAGCAAGTAACATTTACCAGGTAATGGTATTCTTCAACGAGAGATTCTGGACATTTTCCCTTTATGTTCAATTCCATTACCATCACTGAATTCCCCCACTATCAATATCCAAGGGATTTCTTTGACCAGAAACTGAACTGGAACAGCTATAATAAATACTGTAGCTACATGAGCAATTCAGAAGCTAGGAAATCTATGGTAAGTGTATCATCTCTTGACTGCTTAAAGCCTGTTCATCCACAAAGCACAAATCAGGCTTGTGATGCACTGCTCTTCAATTGCCTAGATCGGTGCAGTTCCAATAACACTCAAGAAACTTAAACCCATCCAGGCCAAAACAGCTTGCTTTATTGGCACTCCATTTAGCAGATTCAACATTCCCTCCCTACACCTCTAATGCTCAGTAGCACATTCAAGGCTAGATCATTAATAGAAATGAGAAGCACCAATCCTGACAATAACCCCTGGAGAATCCCATTACAACCTTCCTCAGTCCAAATGATTCACTATTATTCTCCATTTCTTATAACTCAGCCAACCTTGTATCCATGTTGATACTTGAAACATTAACTGTCTTCACACCTTCTGCAAGACTTGCTGAATTTCTCTAGCATTCTATGTTTCTTTCAGATTTCCAGTATCTGCAGTATTTTACTTTTATTAGCATGTCCTCTTGTTGGATCTTCAACATACTTCTGTATAAAACCATCTCTGACACACTCCAGAAATTTGTCCTCCACAGCTTTAGTATTCAGTTGGTTTACCAAGCTGCATAACAGATTGAAGTTACTGATGATAACTGTGTTGCCTATGCTACCCGCTTCTCTGCTGTTGACTGAGTTTAAACAAGCTCATCAGGAAAGTGGGATGTTTGACGTTTAGGAAAGTCATACAGCACAGAAACAGACTCTTTGTTACAACTCATCTGCACTGACCAGATATCCTAAACTGATCTTGTCCCATTTGCCAGCATTTGGCCAATATTCCTCTAAATCCGAAATAGTAGGAACTGCAGATGCTGGCAGAATCCGAGACAACAAGGTGCAGAGCTGGATGAACACAGCAGGCCAGGCAGCATCATAGGAGCAGAAAGGCTGACGTCTAGGCCCGAAACGTCAGCCTTTCTGCTCCTATGATGCTGCTTGGCCTGCTGTGTTCATCCAGCTCTACACCTTGTTGTCCCTCTAAATCCTTCTTATTTATGTACCCATCCAGATGCCTTTTAAACATTGTAATTGCTACACCACTAACTCCCCAGCTAATACCATGCCCCATCTAATCATTATGGTTTGGTGGCCTATAAATAATTCCCACCAAGGTCTGCTGCTCTCTCTTTTTTCTTTGCTCTGCCCCAAATAGATTCCACACGCTTGTTCTTCCAATCTGAGATTCTCCGTTACTAACATACTGATTCCCCTAGTTGACAATCAGGTGGCACAAATTTCCTGTACATTGCTGATTAATCTTGAAGTTCTATTTTGATTTGGAAGTGTTGTGGTTTAATGATTGCAATTATTATTCATGACAAATGTATGGGAAAAGAGGTTCCTACCACTGGCTGCCGCGAGTGTCCAGCATTGTTGCTGAAAATTCCTTTAACATAACCCACAATAGGGAAGCTGAGATTCCCAGGGTAGGGGAA